GAATGGCGGGCACCGTATGCTTATCGGCCGACTCTCCGCACTGACTGCACGTGAAGTGATGGTGACTACAGGACTGGAAGTAGTGTCCGGCGGCCGCAGAGCTGGACGTATGGGCGCCGGCGGTCGCATCGAACCTCTTGTCGGGCGATCGGCTGAGAGAGCGGGCCCTCCTCTGCATGATATAGAACTCCTCCTGAGACAAGAGGGGGTGGCTTTCCGATGAGGAGTTCCGCTGATTTGGGACAACCTTTTTGTGCGCTTTCTTTGGTTTTAACGATTTATGCGATACTTTGTCTATGCGTTTAGAAATCAATATACAAATTAAATTGAATACTAGTTTGGGATTCACTTATGAGTTGAGATTATTGTAGAAATTCATTATAAAATTTCAAAAGCTTTTTGTGTATCATTTTCTAATTGCATTATGTTTTTATTGATGAATTTCTAAACATTTTTTGTGAATTAGTTCATAGAAGTAGATTTAATTAAATGATAAGACGTTTTTCCTAAAATCTAATTAAAATTTTAATTCAATTATACAGTGTTACGTAAGAAATTAAGTTTTTTCGTAATAAGTAAATCTCAAAATAATAATAAGTTTAAAACAAACAGTTTTTCTATAATATAGATCCGACTAACTTTAATAAATTTTAGGTTTATATTGAAAAATTATATTTATTTATAACCATAAATGATATTTATGATTTAATAAATATATTTAATTATCATTTATATTATATAATTGATTAAAACAAATATCTAATTCATAATTGGATAGTCTATTTAATAGACTCTATTATAATTTATGTTTTCGACTTTAATAAGTTTATTATAAATAAGTCTTAAAATGAGATTCAATTGATACAAACCTTCATCCGGAGTACTTTTGCGGCTATTCTTCTTGCGATCCGACATCTGCTGAGTTGTCGTACTCTCGGAAGTGGTGGACAACTCGTGCAAAAGAGCCAATCCTTGACTGTCTTCCTCGACCTCTTCCTCGATGGCGACCACCGGTTCCTCGTGTGTGCCATCCCTTAGCGATAAGCTGTGATTCAACGCATCCAATGACAGGTCCAGCGATTCTTCGTCAATGTCTTGGGAGGACTGGTGTTGGAGAGAGAACTCAGACTTCTCAACGTCCCGTTCAGTTGCTTGGGAGGCGTCGGTAGTCAAGTCGATGAGCTGACCCACCAGTGGCTCAATTGGTTCGTACGGTTTGCTGATAATCGACTCCAAGACGTTGATCGACAAATCGGTGGTAACTGTCGACGGAGTGATTGGTTTACGCGAAGACATCACTAATTATCAAATAATTTAATCATTAGTATAAAGAAATATAGCATAAAATGTTTGTTAAACATATGATACGTACGGAAACCGCCGACCCCTCCCTCTGAGGCTACTTTGGCAATACTGGTGACGGGTTGGGTGGGAAGGCACGGAAGGCTACCGGCCTTCTCGATGGTGACCACACGGTTGGAGTCCGTGGCGTCGACGTCCGCATCGGTGGCGTCCGTACAGCTCTGGTCTATCATAAAACTGCCGGAAGTGGTGCTGTCGTCGCCCAGCGATGGACTCGTGGCTCCCGAATGGATGGCTATGTTCTCGGAGGACAAGCCGTCGCCCACTGATAGGGCAGACAGTACCGGACCCCCAGACTCCCTATCGGCGGTCCACGACTCCAACAGATCCTTATCTTCCCTGTCCATCGATGAGCCCGACTTGAGTGGACCGACAGCGCCAGCAAAACTGATCTCTTCGGACACTTCGGACACTGTGGACAACTCGCCGCCGGAAAGGGATCTCCTCAGAGGTGGCGGTACTACTCCTCCGCCAATACCTAATGGCTTGATGTCTTTGCCGACGACTTCTTTGTCCGCCAATTCTTCCGACTCTTTTCGGTCGAATAGGTCTACGTTTAAGTCCAATAGCTTTTGAGTGACAATACTCTTGAAGTCTTCGACAATCTCTTCAGCAATAGCTCTGATCTCTTCATTAGTTGGTTCCGTTGTCTCAGTGTCTGCTTTGGCGGTCACTTTCGGTTTGCTCTCATCAGTGACTACCTCTTTGTGTGCGCTTACGATGTCTGGTCTTTGAAGGGAAACGGCTGAAGACAAAAACGCTGGCTTCGGAGGTACAGCCGGTTTCGATATCTGTGGAACCACTGGAACCGATTCAATAGTCTCGACGATAGGCTCAACACTGGCCTCAACTGTCGTCTCAGTGAGGGCTTCAACGATTGTCGTGGGCTCCAGACATGTCGACGGATCAGACGAATAGATCTCTTGAATTGGCGTCAAGTCTTGGATATCGGAATCGAGGTCTTCGGCGGTGTGTGCACTCAGATGTGTGGATGCGATGGATTCGGGCGACAGTACGGGAATGGATGCCTCCGATGACGACGAGGATCGCCTCTCATCGCCGGCGAACGTCTCCTCCGATCGCAACAATAATTGTCTTTTCGATGATAGACTTGTGGGCCGTTTGAGCGCCGGAACCGATAGGGATCTCGCCTTCAACTGTATCACAGATATTATCATTAGATATGTCTTAAGAATAGTCTATAAAATACTAACAAAATCTCTCTCTAGAAAGCTGTCATCGACGGTGGGATCAGACTTTCGTTGCATAACTCTGGAGGCAGTGGTTAAGACATCGGCCAACAAATCAGACATTAATGGAGACGACGTCTTTTCCGGTGATAATCTGTTGTCGTCGTCCGACTCTCCCGCTACCTCTTGGGTTGTTTTAAGGCCAGACATGGGCTCCACGTCTGAAGACTTGATGTCAGAGCTGGTGGTCGGGGATGTGGTCAAGTGAATACTGGATGACTCGCTGTCGGGAGATATCAGTGTTTCCATCAATTGCTTCTTCAGGCGACTAATAGGCGAATCCAATGGCAGTAAATCGACGGATGAATCGGCGCCAGAGGTTTGGATG